CAGTGCATTGGGAATAGTAATTTAATAACTTGAAAAGTAGTGCTTTAAAGGTGGGTACAAGCAGAGGTGACAGGCATCTACAGGACATTTTATTGTGGAATCTTGGTGCTCACTGAGGTAAAGAAGACACTAAGAGGATTACAACAGGGGTTGAGGGAAGGGAAAGAAAAGCCAGTATTCCCAATGCATAGGTTTTAAAATTGGCTGCAGAAAGAGATGTCATTGCCCAACCCCTGACTGTTCTTTTAAATCTCTTATTGACAAGTAAAACCTTTCCTACAGAGAAGTATCTGGAACATACAATCCCCATTTGCAATGTGGGCGACCACTGTAACCCTCAACAATTACAGCCTGTTGCTCTTTTATCCATTTCAAAACCAGATTTGGAAGCCACTAAGAGTTGACAATTTGGCACATACATCTTTCAAAGACTCCCCTATTGTTGCTCACGTTGGCAGCGTTTGTAGATTGATTCGGTTTTAGAGCAATCAAATTATATGTTTCCATACAATGGATGAGATTTAAACTTCATGGTAGTTAATATAAAAAATGTGAAAGAATAGCTAGAGAAATGGCTGGTTATGGGAGAACAGAGAAGAAAAGCATGGGCTCCAGCATTTGGCACATCTTAAATTTGGCCAAAAAGGAAAAGAAACTTGTTTTGTTCCTAGTCTTTCAGGAGTTGATTTTACAGGTATCAGAGGGCTTTCATTACAACGTTCTTTTAAAAATATCAAGAAAATGACCAGTTTTTAATTTTAGAGTCATGCATATTTGTTGCAAGTTAATTTGTAAATTCGGATCTTATTGCAGAATACATACATAGCTGTTAAATATATGATTATTTTGTAATTAATCTTTGGTCACAAGGAGGCTGGACGAAGATAAACAGTTGCTTGCAACATGGGACTTTAAATTAATTCCCTAGTTTCTTTCTCATCTTGAGACTATGTGTTACTTTGAATATAATTGGCCCCCATAATCTCATAGGAAGTGGCACTATTAGGAGGTATGGCTTTGTTGGAGTGGATATGGCCTTGTTATAGTAAGTGTGTCACTGTAGGGGTGGGCTTTGAGGTTTCATATACTCAGGATACTGCCCAGTCAGTCAGTAAACTTCCTGTTGCCTGCAAGATGTAGGACACTTAACTATTTCTCTAGCACCCTGGCTACCTGCATGCCACTATACTCCCTGCCATGATGATAATAGAATGAACCTCTGAAATTGTAAGCAAAGGATCCTCACTTAAATGGTTTATAAGAATTGCTGTGGTCTGGACCCCAGACTGATGGCTGGGAGGCCAGCATGGAACTGATACAGACCCCCTGAATGTGGGTGTCAGTGAAGAGGCCTAGGCAATCTAAGAGGCCTTGGGTAGTAGATCAGTATTTATCCCTGGCATACAAATGGACTTTGGGTGCCCATCCCACATTGAGGGATGCTCTCTCAGCCTGAACTCTTGGGGGAGGGCCTAGCCCCTGCCCTGAATGAAATGACAGACTCTGGAGATCTCCCATGGAGGGCCTCACTTCCTAGGGAACAGAGAGGGTATTGGGTGGGGGGCTGGGGAGCCTGGTAGAGGGCGGGGGAAGAGGGGAGGGAAAAGGAGCTGGGATTGACATGTGAATCAAGCTTGTTTCTAATTTAAATAAAAAAAATAAAAAAAGAATTGCTGTGGCCATGGTGTCTCTTCCCAGCAATAGTAAACCCTAACTACGACAGACTGATAATTGGAAGCCACTTCAGGATTGTATACCTAACTCTTAAGTTTCCATCCCTACTTTGTTGTATAGTTATGTCTTTGCTGATATTTTTTTACTCTTGGACCTTTTTAATTCTTGGTAGGAATGCCTGAAGGGGAATAGCTGATGGAAGGAAAGATATTTTATAACATTTATTATAGTAATTTACTTATAAAACTGTTTAACTTAGCACTAAAGTACATCAAAGTGAAATTTTAGACAATTTTCTAGGCCGTAAATACTTACTTCAAATTGAAGGTTGGGATCTGTGGGTTTCTTCTTTCTGTCCTTGCAATCTATTTCTTGGTGAATCTACAGGAGAAGGTGAGTGGGTATTGAAAGCACACCATCATTACTAATAATTTTTGGAAAAATTGGCTAGTTATGTCTACATCATCATAGTATAGTCAGATAAGGGAGATTATAATAACCCTTTATGGTTGACCATGAATATAGACATCCAATTAAATAAACCATAATTCTTTTCTCAATTTATGACAGTACTTTAGAAGGCTTTTCAGTACCAAAGAGGATATGTATGTACTTAGATAATCAGACTCAGCAAAATACTTTTGTCTACATGTGTGCAGTTGCACACCCACACACACACAAACACACATACACACACCCGTATATGGCATACTACATTGTAAATTGTTAGAAATAATTCTTCCCTTGATCCTAATTTTCACAGTTTTTATCTCCCTCTCTTGCCACTTATAAGCTATTTGCTCTAGAGATAAGCTATTAATAAGACTAAAGAAGTCAAGTTGGGCCATTGAGATGGCTCACTGGTTAAAAGCATTTGCCACGTGAGCCTGATGATAGAGCAGGATCCCCAGAACACTCACAAATGTAGAAGGAGAGAACCAGTTCCACAAAGTTGTTCTCTGTGTCCTCTGTGTGCCACAGCATGTGTGATCACTTACTTACACATCATGCAAGCATGTGCATGTGCACACAAAGACACACACATAAGCCCTAATGAGATAAAAATAGATTTTACAAAAGAGATCAAAATTTTGCATACACTTTGAACTCATTATGAAGATTTGCTGGAGGGCATTGATGGGGGAAATCATGCCATCAATATCCCCTGGGTTCATCATTAGCTCACACAACTTGTGTTATTATTTATCACTTTATGTATGTAGATGGTTTCATTGTCTTCATAATCAGACTCTGAGGAATCATTTTCACGGACTTTGTTCTACAATGTTTTTTTGTTTGTTTGTTTGTTTTTTCCTGTGCTTCCTGATGAGCTTGTCTCTCTGGGCATAAGTGAAAACAAAGAAAATTGATTTCCTGAAATAATTTCAAATGAAAGAACAAAAAGAGGAGCAAGAAGAGAACAACAGAGGAAGAAGATGTAGTCACAGGAGAAGATTATTTTAGGGGCGGCTGTCTGTTAAGAGTTGGCAGGATTCCCTCCTTCTCCTTTCTTTAAATAACATAAATGAAGCTGCACTGGTGTGGGTCTGACTGTGTCTGCCCTGTGCAGAATCACTTGGGAACTGTCCAGCAAAATATCTCTTGAAGAACAGCATGGTGTTAATACTGGGTGCCAGCCCAAGGCAGAAACAAAGGACCCCCTTGCTCTTCACCAATAAGCCAACTGTTAAAAGATTAAACCATGTTGTGGAGATAACAAGAATTTAGGCGCTGGCAGCAGGTGCTGTACAAAGAAGCAGTTGGCAGCATGGGTCTTCTGTCTAATTCCAGTCAAAACAATCTCCTGCCCAGATACAGAGGGGAGTTTAGAGGATGATGGCAACTTGGAGTGAAGAGGTTGAGTAGGAATCCTGTGGTTATGGCTTAGTAGAATATAGTTTATCATTGTTCAAAGCCTGTGGGGATTCCTTTCTAGAATCTAGCCACTCCTGATTATCTAGGGAGATACCCAGTCAATGCACTGTTAAGGCCAATGTCCTTATGTACTGAGAAGCAGCCACAAAATGCAGTTAAAAACTTTTATTCACACAAAGGAGTCCTATGACATTTCCCCTCTTGAGAGAGATCTTTCTTTTCTTACAGAATAATTATCATAGCATATCCTTCTGTGTTTGCTTGAACATATTTTAAAATATTGCCTTATGAATTATTACTTAATTTATATGTTTAAAAAATCATCTGCCACTCAGTAAATATATAGTATTATTAAACTTATAAAGAAGACCTTTTAGCATCTGAAAGTAAATTAAAGGGTTATTAAAGCAGCATCATTTATCATAATAAAAGTAAATGTTAACATAGCTCTATGATCTTATACATGTTGCTATATAAAAGCTGTGATTACTTGAGGAAAATGTTCCTATAACTTAGGAAGTAAATTTTAGTAAGTGTAAAGTAACAGAGTTCCTATAGGTGACATGAGTGAATAGGAGTTTAATAATCAAGTGTAAGCGAGTCATACTTGAAGGTGCACGTGCCTTCTACATATTTAATGTGATAAACAACACAGGCTGGGGGATCTGATAATGACCCTAGGATGTATGCATGGCATGTTTCCCCCATCAGTGCCCACTCCTTCTCTAGTGACTCTTCAAGCTCAGGTGTCTCGGTTGTATGTTTTATTCTCAGGGGAGTATGTAGACACTCAATCATTCTCCTGCCTGTAATGTCTCCATTCTACAATACATGATGTCACCCTATGGCATATCAACCTCACTAAAACATGCTGGATCCAGACCCTGGTGAAAGTGCTGACCATCCCCCTGGGGTTACCTAACGGTAGCCTTCACCCGATGTGTTCCACAGTTTGGTCAAATTTACCTTTTAACTCTACTGAGAAATTCTAAGATACACAGACTAAAACTGCCTTATTTTGATAATGTTTTGCTCTTTATTATCCATATCAGATCCATTCCACTCTTTAAGAGCTGTAGCATGCTACTCTTGCAAGACAACTCATTTTTATTTTTATAACAAAAATAAGCCTATTATGTTAGATGCCTCTAACACAATTTGTTTGCATAGTGTTTAATATGAAAAAAAACATTTCCTTTCTCCCTCTCTCTGATGAGAGAGAGAACCTTTGCTATATGTTTTTAAGGCATAAAAAGTATTTTAGAATATCCCGTGCTACACAGACAGGATCTTTGCACATTAGTACTGACCTAGTACTAGTTTTTGAAGACAGCCTCTCAGGCAGAAAACCCGGTGTTCTGACATGATTCATTCATTTTGAGTAAGTATGTTGAAGAATGTTCATTTTTTAAATCATGAATTAAAAGGGTGTCCTTCTCCTTGTGATGCAGGTGGATCCCAATATTGTTCTTTATGCCTCTGTTTCCATCAGAAAGCACAGTTTCTCAAGGAAGGAAGTGAACAGCAGGAATCAGATGGTGTCCTGGCCTGAAGCCAGCATGTGGCTGATCACCAAGGTACATAGGAGCATCTGCTCTAGCCAAATGATTGCTCCTCCTTTGCTGCCATGTTGTGCTGCTCCAGAACCTGGTCCCTCTTGCATATAAGCATACATGTGGAAGCATATTAAACTGTGGACTATTAAGAACATCCATTCTGTTCTTTGTATTGTCTAATGCAAAAGATTTATGTAGATTGCCAACAGGCATTCAGTATACTTTTAGACATTCTTATTAGTTCACATCTCAGAGTATCCTTAAACCAAACACAGAGCTTGTATGGACCCCACAGACTGATCATTTTTTTGTGACAGGTGTGTTAGTCTTCAGTATTGATCTTTATCAGCCTAATAGATTAACACCATATTCTGACTTTTCATACTGTCTTATCAAGGACAGTTTTAAAAGAAGATTTTCAGTATAAAATGTGAACAGTTTATACATCTGTGTAGGAAATCTTAATTAAACTATTGATCCACCAATGGATTAGATCAGAATCTTTTGATCCATTCGCCCTTCAGTGCTTGGATTCACAAGTGGGGACCAGGTCTTTCACAGGAGCCCTTTGAGGGACATTTCATATCCAAACCATAGCATTTACACAGTATAAGAAAGTGAGACTAGCCGGGCAGTGGTGGCACACGCCTTTAATCCCAGCACTTAGGAGGCAGAGGTAGGCGGATCTCTGTGAGTTCGAGGCCGGGCTGGACCAATAGTCTCCAAAACAATACAGAGAAACCCTGTCTCATAAAAACCAAAAAAAAAAAAAAAAAGCGAGATTAGTAACAAGGGAAGGATTGTTGGTCTGTCTGACTTTATAAATTTAGCTTTTTTCCTGTATTACAAGACCATGCTTATTTCTGATTGGTCTGCGAATATGCTAAGAGTGTCTTACTCTTAGTGCTACTACTGAATACTTGGATGATTGCCATCTAATCACACCTGGCATGTAGAGTTAGAATTTCTCAACCTAAATGAAATGGATTAGATGCTATGGAAGGCCCTTTTCTAAATCTCATCTTCTGTAATATCATGGTATTTATTTCTAGAATCTCACTATACTATGCAACTTGTCCTTTCTTACATTCCTTAAAGTAATTGAAATGCTCTCTCAAAGAGTGCATCTTTCCTGGAGTTCCTTGCATGGTCCAGAGAAAGTTATTTGGGTACCATGAGACATAGTTCCTTTAACTATAAAATGGAGCTAGTCATGCTTTCCTTGCAAAGTTACAGCACAGTAAAAATTAGAATGATATCTGGTGTTGAGGCATAACATCTGATATAAAGAATGCTCAGCAATGTCTTTCTTCCTCTTTGTAAGCCCTTCCCTTTTCTGTACACACAAACATATTTACACATGCAAGGATTGCAAGTACTTATCACCATACAAACTATTTACAGATATGTTTCCCAGGTAACCATGTAGCTCCCTTTTACACAACAAAAACCTGAAAAGCAAAAGTTATATACTGTAACGGGAAGAAAAATAACCAATGTGCACAGTAAGTTTCCCTTTCCCCCTTTAACAATAAATACCTTCTATAATATCATACAGAATTTTGCATGCCATAATTCCCCAGTGGGTATATATAAATCTCTCTGTGATTGTGACTCATTTAAAATGAGCTAATTCACTAAGTAGGAAAATTATTATTGAATAGCCACTTACACAATATTCTCAATTAATTTCCTCGACAGAGAATGCTCACATTTAAGACAAAGAGGTCATGGACCACCACCACTGTACAGTTTTAACCCGTGCTATTAAGACCCAGAGTAAAACTTTAAATTGATATGAAGGTTGAGGATTTGTTTCAATCCTCTCAGTTCACTGCACATGTTCGTCTGTGCATGCAGATTTCAAGTAAGCTCTGTAGTTATAACTCTAGCAAGTGACACGTGATGGACCCCAAGCCACTACACTGTGAAATATGCACAGAAAAGGACAAATGAACATATCAAGGTCTGTTTTATTTTGCGCTCAACTGTAAAATGCCACCCTTGTAGGACAGAGGCTTGCTGCTTCTGAGCAGGGCTCACTGACTGCTAAGTTGTGGGTAGTATTTCACTTTGAGCCACTGTTAATATCCAGGTTTATCCAGGCATAATGACCTCACTACTTGTGACACATTGTTGAATTTTCTGGTTCTGTTAACGTATTTAGACCTTTTTCTCCCTTCCCTTTCATTGGAAGACTGGGATGATCTTGAACAGAGCGATAACTCAAGGCTGCCTGGCTATTGGTCATCCAGTCAGAGTTGAGACCACCCAGGGAGCATCACTAGAAGGATATAAATTACTGCTACAGAAAAGGTAATGCTTATGAGTGATCTGGCTCAAACAACAAACATTGACTTTGCAGATTCTGAACAGGCATGTTGAGATGCTTTGTGGCTTGGATAGAACAAGAATGAGGCATTTATATTTATTTTAACATTGCTATTTTAATCTAGAAGAATCTTCTTGAATATTTATGTTACTTAGTTTTGGAGTATGCTAAAAAGAGAAATGTTGACTTCAAATGTATCTCTGCAGTCAACAAACTCTGTGAGCTTTATTCTATCAGCTCCAGGATTCATTGTTTTATGTCCAGTTTTTATTGCAAACCAGAACACTTAAATTAGCATGTGTGCTTTTAACATCTTCAACATTTTTTTTGAACGTGGAACACTGTAAAAGTAAAATTATGGAGATGAAACAATGACTAACTTGGAACGGGCCAGAAGTAGCCTCTACAGAAGATATGGTTGGGTTTTTTTAGACAGGGCTTCTCTGTGTAGCTTTGTAGAGTACACTGGCCTCAAACTCACAGAGATAAGCCTGCCTCTGCCTCCCGAGTATTGGGATTAAAGGTGTGTGCCACCACCTCCTGACTCAGTTGGAACGTTTTTAAGAATACAAGTTTAATTTTTTTAGATAGGGTGGGAGGGAGGGGGAAGGGGAGTGCGGGAGGAGAGGAGGGAGAGGGAACTGGGATTGACATGTAAAACAAGCTATTTAAAATTAAAATAAAAAATGATAAAAACCCACAGAGAAAGAAAGTTGATTTACATCTAATCACCTAGAAGTATTGTTTCTAAGACCTTTCCTTCCTTTGTTCCTTCATTTCTCCCTCCCTCTCTCCCTCACTTCCTTCTTCCCTCCCTCCCTCCCTCACTTCCTTCTTACCTCCCTCCCTCCCTTCCTTCTTCCCTCCATCCCTCACTTCCTTCTTCCCTCCCTCCCTCACTTCCTTTTTTCCCTCCCTCCCTCCCTCCTTTCCTCCCTCCTTTCTTCCTTTCTTTCTTTTAAGACAAGAACTCTCTATCATTCAGCCCTGGCTGTCCTGGAACTCACTATGTAGACCAGGTTGCCCTCAGACTCACAGAGCTCTTCCTGCCTGTGCCTCCTGAGTACTGGGATGAAAAGTATGTACTGTTTTCACAGCACTCATCACATTTGATTTAACTTAATATCGATAAGAACAAGCCTTGTAATTTTTTAGTACATAGAGAGCCATGATTTAGTTTGACTCAATAAGGATGTGTATAGAAATGAAGCCAGAATCATGATACTTAGGCATCAGGGGGGCTGGCCCAGCTGTGGTTGCAGAAAGGAAAACATAACATGAAAAGCAGTCTGTCTAGCAGGCATAAAGTACCACACAGGGATTAAAAGCACAGTATATAGAGTCAAGTTTCTAGGTGTAAACCCTGGATGTACAGCTCACTCTCATAGCAACTCTGCACTTCTGCACTGGATAAAATTCTAATTTCTCAAAGTTGCATTGTTACATTTAAACCTCATGTCAGTTGGGTAAAGTAATTATCATGATTATCTGTACTGAAGTTGAGAAACCAATCACTTGTTCAGGGTCATAATTATTAGGTGGCTGTACAGAAAACAGACTCCAGCAGTCAGTCTCTAACCCAAAAACAGACTCTTATTCATGACCCTACACTGTGCAATAGGAGAAAGTCGAAGCAAACCATTGGCAGCGAGTGTCTAGAGTAGTAACAGAACACCTTAGACGTTAAGGAGGGAAAGGGCATGCAGGAAAAAGAGACATAAATGTTTTTTTAAAATATGTTTTTATCATGAAATTTCTGTAATTGTGTCTTATTAGGCAAGTTACTTTTCTCACTTAGCCTTTACAGTTATACCATATCTAGGATTGATTTACCTATTTAAATGCTGTCTCTGTGCCCCCAGTGCTGGGAGTACAAATGCACATCATGATGCCTGACTTTTTATGTGGGTTCTAGTGATCAAGCTTGAATCCTCATGGTTGCATTGGAATCACTTTACTGACTGAGCCATCTCCATGGCTTCTTGAAGATATTCTTTTTTTTATTCTTTGAAAATTCATAGTTGTATACAATGCATCTGAGTCATACCTTTCCCCCAATCCTTCCCTCGAATTCTTCCTGGACCTCTTCTCCAATATGTTTCCCTTTTAGCTTGTCCTAATTTCTAATAACCTACTTAGCCCAGTCAGTGTTGTCTGTATATACATGACTGTGGGTTAATTAGGACATAAGCAACCTGCCAGTGGATACCTTTCAAAGAAAAGTGACTCTTATGTAGTTACCATCTCTTCAAGTAGGGGTAGGGTCTCCATGCTAGGATTTGTAACCAGCTTGGTCTTGTGCAGATCTTATGTAGGTAACCACGGATGCTGTGAGTTCATGTGTATAACAGTCATGTTATATCCAGAGGACATCCTTTCACAGTGCTCTTCCCTGTCCTCTGTCTTTAAATTCTTTCTGTCAACTCTTTTACCATATTCCGTGACCACTAGTAGGCAGATGTTTATGTAGATGTCCCATCTGTGCCTGAATATACACAGCTGCTTATTCTTAGCACTTTGACCATTCATGAATCTCTCTACATTAACCACTACCCATTACAAGAAGAGGCATCCCTCCCCACGGTTAAGAACTAGACAGAAATATGGGCAAAACCACAGATATTCGGAAAGCAGTTTGACAACATGATTTCTTACCAAAGCAACATTAAAGGATTTTTCCTTTGGTCCAATGACTTTACTAGCCAAGGATTTTGATCATGTTTACAACACAAGGCACGAATTCCCTCTAATGGAGCAGACCTTGCATTCAATCAAGAGTGGTTGGTGACCCATACAGTCTTGCCACTAGTACACCAGTGCATACATCTTTCCTGGTAGGTCACATTTGTAGCATTTAAACTCCAGCATTAGGTAAGACCATTGCTATCTTTTCTCTCCCAGTTGCCTGCACAACACGTTTCAGCAGTATGAAAATTATCCAGAAGGGAGAGAGTTTTCTGCTTAGAGGATATTGATTTCTCTATGTCTGCACCCAAAGTGAGTAGTGTTTCCTAAAGATATTCCTTTTTAAGGGAACTACATCATAATCAGGATAGTCTACATTCTACCAATATAACAAATCTCAACAACTCCAATAGACTTCAAAAAGATAAAATATAACTTTGACCATGTAGAGTTAAATTGGAAATCAGTAGCAGAAGGGCCACCAATTTGCTCAGTGGTAGAGTGTATAGATTCAATACCCAGCATATATTGAAAGAAGAAAAAAGAACTCAAAAGGGGAAAGTTTTCTGTGATACCTCCGAATACTTAGACATGAAGTAATGCATTTCTAAATTAGGTATTAAATGTAAATTAGGTATTAAATGTAAATTAGCAAGTATTTTGAACTTAATGAAAATAAAGCACAAAGACTGGCCTACAATGAAGTGCTATTGTGACTTTAGTAGTAAGTCTGATATTTAGAAGACCGAGTTAGAATATTAACAAGTAGAAACTCTCATTATTCTTAGCTGATAGAAATGGAAAACAGTTTGTCCAAATTGAGAGCTAGTTTAAACTTTTACAAAATACAAAGAAAATGAAAGTATGTGTCCCTACAAAGGCTTGTATGTGGATGTTCAAAACAGTTTTACTCCAAAATATGGCAAAGCTAGAAATAACCTAAAGGTCCATCTACACAGGGAAAATAGACAAATTATTGTTTCCAAACAATGATGTTGGTCAAGAAAAGGGAATCAGTTGTTGGTAATGCAACACTAGGAGTAGAATCTCAAAGGAATTTTGCTAACAGAAATTAAAGTAAAAAAAAGTCCATACCACTTGACTTCATTCACATGCAATTTAGATAAATACTCAAGAATCTAAAATGGTAGAATACAGGTCACCAGCTGACTAGAGATAAGAAAGTGGGGAGGCCAGAGAGCAGGATTTTAAAAGGCTCCCAGGGGCTGAAGAGAAGACCTGAATTCAATTCCCAGCAGCCATGTGGCCCAATTGTCTATAACTTCAGTTCTAGAGGATCTGATGCTCTCTTCCATCCTGTGTGGGCACTACATGCACACAGTGCGTGAGAAAAAAATAATAAAAATAACACTAATAAAAATTTTCAAAGATGCATCAAAAAGGTTTAAGAGTGATTTCTGTAGAGGGGGTTGAGAGATACAGAAATGTTTGTTATTATGACTGAGATGGTGCTTTCAAAGTATACACATATTTCAAAGTTTCATGTTTTATTCTGTAAATATATGCCTGCCAATTGTACAACTGACATATTCTATATTATAAATGGAATAAATAAAACCTCTTGAGGATCCAAATGAAGCTTCTTGAAAAGACTAAAATACAAACAAAAAATCAACAACAATTGAAAATGAGTAGAGATAACTGAGTTATTGTTATATTGGAGAGAGTGGAAGAAAGAAAGGGAAAAGAAGAGAGAGAGAGGACAGAGACATAGATACACACAGAGAGGGGGGGAGACGAGAGAGACATCTGACTGGCACCCACAGTTCAAACAGCAGGTATTTGGGAGAGTCCTGTTTTCTGGTCTTGCTTACAATGCCCAGGGTTCTCCTTGGCCACAGTGAGTGTTGACAGCAGAGCATCATCTGTTCAGTGAACTGACCTGAGCCTATCCAGATCTCCCACCTGCTCTGGTCAGGATAGTGAGACAGTGGTGGTGAAGCTCAGTGTCCTGAAAGCAGGGAGAGATGTCAGTTTAAAACATGCAGCAAGTCTGGGGAGGTGGAGGCACAAGGATCAGAAATTCAGAGTCATCCTCCAGAACAGAGTGAGTTTGAGATCAGGCTGGTCCAGTGGTTCTCAACCTTCTTAATGCTGTGACCTGTAACACAGTTCCTCATGTTGTGGTGGCCCCCCATAAAATTATTTCTGTGCTGTTTCATAACTGTAATTCTGCTACTGTTATGAGCCATAGTGTAAACGTGTGATATGCGGGATATCTGATATACAACCCCTGTGAAAGGGTTGTTCAACTAAAGGTGTCACAGTCTATAGGTTG